CGACAAAAACTTAAGGGGCCCAAAGTGACGACGGGTATGAGGCTTGCGATGAGGACCGCCCCGATCCCCGTGACTGCTGGTAGTTTTGACATGCGATGAAAGAGGGGCCAAAAAGTGACGCGACAGTTACAAGGATACGAGGATGGCGACCACGAGGGGCCCCATCCCTGTGACTGTTGGCACTGTTAAAGCCTGTCATTTGGGGGGTTGGGGGGTACCATTGGGGGGTTGGAGGGGGGGGGCTGCGGGGCGCGGGGTTGGTGGCTGGGAACGCAGAGCGGGACCATATATATATATATATTTATACCCCTTGTAAATCCTTAAATTTCAATTGCTTGGGCCCAGGGCCTGACCGGTCGCCGAGCCCGGCCGGTAAGCGCCAGCGAGGCGCCGAGGTGGCAAACTCGGAAGTTCTTGCAGAAATTGGGTATTTCCCAATGTTAGGCGTACCATGTAGGGTTAGGGTTTGTGGGGCAATCCACAGATTAGGGGTACCATTAGGTGTCCCCATAATAAGGATTATAGTATTCGGTGGTCAACATTGGGGTCCCCGTACTTTGGGAAACTACCATATTCGGGTTTGTCGAAATGTCCTTTCAGAAGGGGTTATCTGAGCTATAGTCTAGACTCCTTAAAGGGGCTTACGTAGAGGATGGTGTACGGGAGTCTTGTATGGGTTGCTAAGGGGGATACTAGGAGGATAGCGCATGTCGGGCTTGTAGAGGGCTATATAGGGTGTAGGTGTCTCTGGGGCATAAATAGTGGACAATAAATTAGAGATGTTGCAGTGGTTTATAGAGATTGGGGTTTCCGAAAACTAGGCGTCCCTTCTCAGGGGTCCCTATCGTAAGGACTGTAGTATTCTGAGATCTATATTGGGGCCCCCTTGTGACGGAAGCTCCGGAGGCATGAGAATCTTAGGTCCTTTCAGTTTTATAAGGGTATAGTTATAGGGATAGGTTTTAGGTCAATTCCCCTTATAGTAATAGCTTCTTAATCTGGAGGTTATAGGGCCTTTTTACCTACAATAGTCCCTTGTGGTACCCATTACTGGGTGGGGTATTGACGCAAGATATGTAGGGTCTACGGTTTGGGGTTAGAATGATGGAGAATCAACTGGTCAGAAATCCAGCGGGAGGTTTCTCAAAAAATTAGGTGTCTAGGGCACCCTCAGGATATGATCGCAGCCCCCACACAACTGCTCTACATATCTTCATGAAGCTAGCAGGTAAACAAAGGTCCTGAGAAGTGGGACTTTCATAGGATTATGATACTAGGATGCTATTCTAGACCCCTTGGTACACCTAGGATCTGAAGGCGCAAAATGCCCACATGCAGATGAGGATGATTTGGTTCCGTTATTCAGCCGTTAAGAGGGTTATTTTCATTTTAAAGAAGCCCCCATGGTTTACGGTACACGCGAAGGAAGTAAGCATTGTACAGGAATTGTAGAGATTGTAGAGATCATTAAATGGTCCGTCGTCAGAGGTTGAAACGCTCGTTTGGGAGGTTTAAGAAGGACAGGAAGTTGTTTGAATGTGGATAGTCGGATCTCAAATAAGGGATTATATAGGCATTGTTGGATCGGGAGGGCGATGGGATCTCAACGTAAGACTCTACTAGATTGGTTTCTGGCAGATGTTTATGAGGTTGACCTAAGGGTACTAGACGGATTTCTTTAGGCACCGAAATCAGCCCTAAACCCTGAACCCTAAACCCTAAACTGTTATCGGGGGTTCTGTGTGCTTTCAAGAATCAGGGGCCGGCTTTAGGAATCGCACATGATTGGATGCCAATTGGGGTTTGGGATGTCAACTTCAGCATGAGCTCGTGGTGCGTGCTTGATCTGACGACCTTCATGTAAGCTATAATCCGACCTCCTTAAAGGTGGTCTGTATGGGGTATCGTATAGGGAACTACTCTAGGGCTGTATTAAAGGAGATACTAGGAGTTTGGACTATGGCTCATGTGTGTACGCAAGAGCAGCAGTTTCTTTGCCCTTCTGGTGCTGTCTGCCATTCTTTGAAGTTATTGGGTACTTTGGGCAGGTACTTGGCTGAGGGGGTTTCCCAGAAGACGAAGTCTTTTTCTGCTTGAAAACTCACAGTTGTAGTGCCGGCAGCATCATCTCTAATTTCCAAGCATTCTGTTGATTTCATGGTAGGTCAACTACCTTAGCATGGGCATTTCAGCCGCTGTGCGTAGCGGCGTAGCAAAGGCGGATGATCTACCGCTGTTCACCCAGAGCGGCCCCACCACGGGCACCATACCGCCTGGGACAGTCACGCAGGCCAGGGCATTTTCTGAGGTTCTCAGTTTGGAGATGGCCACGATCTACTTGTTTTGCCTTTGCAGGGATTGATGATGCCGCCCCCCACGGTGACATCCAACATGCCGCCAACGATGAGCCTCTTTGATCCACCTTCGGACGAGGCCTGCGGCATGTGTACAGGCTTAAGAGAAATCTGTGCACAAAGTGAAGGCGCGCCAATTTTGCTTCAGATTGCTGAAGGCTCAAGCCCCAGTAGCTGCAGATCTCTTCTGTGGTGCCAGGCATGGAGGTGTCCATTATAATCCAGGCTTTTGGCCATGAGATGAGCTGCAACCTCCATTTGGAGCATGGGCTCCAGCAACTGAACGTACTGTCGCATGTGGTTCTGCTTCAGATGTACATTTGCCACCTGGCGGATGCTTGCCGTGCTGCAGAGCTGGACAAGCTCAAGCAGAAGAAGCTCTCCCTCGAGGCAATGCAGCGTGAGGCCGTAGAGAGGTATCACGAGTCGGGGCCACCTTCCCGTACGATGCCAGGCTCCGAGTGCGCTGATAAGCCTGGCAAAAAAGCGTCCGTGAATTTCACTTGCGGTGTCGACGAGGACTGCGGCGGCCTTCTCCCAATCTGCAAACTGGAGACTGGAGGCCTGGAGCAAGCGGGCACAGACGTGAGCAGCCCAGGGGAGAACTCGCCAAGCGATGCCTCGGACTCACCGCCCTCAGAGACCAGGGCGCGCTCAGACAGCGGCTTGGGCAAGCAGACTCCGTCCCGGCAGTCTTTCGTAATCCCGCGCATGAGTCGTCCAAGGGCCCGAAGCCGATCGAAGGCTTTCTCAGTTTCCCCCGAGTCTCATATCCGACACTTCCGGGATTGGGGATTCCCTCCATTTCCGCAAGAGGGCGATGCGTCCGATTCCAACTAGCTCTTTTGGTAGATGCAAGATGGTGCAAGCCAGCTTCCTGCCACCCACTTTTGAATGAACGGGTCGTGCATGTCTTGTTTTTGCTTAAGGCTGGAATGGGTGGTGGCCTGAATTAAATCTGAGGACTATCTTGATAGATAGGTCAGCGAATCAAAGCCGTTCCCTTTGGTTTTTTCGGACCTCCACCATGCAAGTGCCGTGCATGCACTGTTATGGAGTGCAGTCCTCAAACGAGGAGCGCTGCGCTCCTCCATGCTCGCTTTAATCTGCGAGCCGCCAAGCATCCCCATGAGGGAGCATTAGATGACAGAGGTAGCACTGACATAGTAAAGGAGCCAAACTCGGGATGTGTGGATGAATAGAGAGACAGCTGTTGCAGATATGGATCTATGGCTTTCAAACCCGCTTGCAAACTGTTGGAGTTTTTGGCCTGGGAGCGGTTGATGCTTGGTATCTCCCTGTTGCAGTCCAGTAGTCTAGTTCGAGCTTTAGCACATGGCACCCCACCCTGCAGGACCTGCGTGGCTGCATGCGGCCACCCATCAAAGATAGGTCCATTTGATCTAGCCTTCTGATCATGAGAGAATTAGCCTTCACAACTAACTAGTATCGCAGCACAGTGGGCAGCATCACGTTCTACAGTTTGCAAAGGCTGACAGCATCTCGTTTTGTTCGAAGATGGGTGACCTCATGCCTGGATGGCCCCGGCTCCTGCTGAGACAGGGGTGCCAGCCTGCCTGTCTGCCTGAGACTGTACAGATTTGCCGCTGGCCCCCGCGGCATAGCAGAGCTGTACCTGAGCGACTTTTTATCAGAAACATGGGCCAATGCTGCTGCAGCGATGCTTTCAGTTGCTCATGCCATGTTGCTGACAAGCTGTAGACCCTCGACTCACCCTTGTCCCATGAAGGCTACTTCCATCCGGACTAGCGTTGTAACGTTAACAGCGGGAGCTGCCATCTATCAAGTGTTCTTTCTTTTTGGCATTTTTCGTCCGTGATCAGTCCCCTTACTCGTAATGGTTGCAACAGTCTTTCGGGTATGGGCGGGACCACTAGATCACATGAGTATCACATGCGTGTTTCTGAATTGACATCCTCATACACGAACCCCCAGGCACCGAAGTCAAGCCCCGGGAGTCTACTCCAGCCCAGCAGATGGCCCGCGACCCCAAACTGCCAGGAGCCAAGCGCCCCAGCGAGGGGTCCGGCGCCAGCTGTTCCTTCAGCCCTCCACGCGGCATCACGACCTGCTGCACCGAAGGTTGCAGAGGCAGGGGCATGCAGCAGACGGAAACCGGCGCTTGTAGCTTAGTCGTCCCTGTTCCGCGAAGTCATTGTGATCTAGAACTTTGGGAATCAGGTGTGCAGGGGCTGCAATCAGCAGTAGTAAATTTTGGAGACACGAACGTCGGAACTTCTTCAAACATAGCTTGAGCAACCCATCACCCATGTCTCAAAATAGTTTGACTTCAGCTGGTAGCAGAGTGGCAATGATATTTCTTTGCCTGAACACAAGCCGGAAATCGAAAAACACTAAGCAACTAAAACACTTGGCCGCAAAGCAATCCTGTACCCCTATAATCCTCAAAGTCTACATCCCCAAAATCCAAAACTTTTACCACATCCCTCAAACCTCGTATCCCCAATTTATTGCAAGGAGCCTGCTGCACCTCGTGGACCCCCACGGCCTGCAGGCGTCAGCACTACTGAGGACCTCTTCTTCAGCGATAGTGAGTAAAAAAAGGTGCCGCTAGTACTGCAGGACGAAGAATTTCAGAATGCACGTATTTGGTCATGTTTTGCATTTTGAACTCTCGGGGTTTGTTCTACCTTCTAGAGTACGCCTCAAAGCAAGCAGAGGCCTTGGAGAGTAGCAGCGCGCAGTGATAGAAGACTGGTAAATGCAGCAGCGATAGAGCTTGAGATCGGCAGTCGCTATGCTCGTCTCTGTAGCCATTTTGAGGCTCTGTTCTCCGTTGAGCCCAATTTACGTACTCCTATTTTGTGCTAACACTCGACACCTCAGCCCGGTGGATGCCTTAGCAGTTTCTGCAGTGCCTGAGCATGTGCCTTGTAGGGGAATGATAACCCTAATTTAACCCCAACATACTATAATAGTTTCTATTTTATTGTCCATTATCGCAATATAACCCCAATATTGCCCTTGATATAATATATTAGTTCCATTTTAGCTTATAATCCAGTATCCCTAAAAATCAAATAGGTAATTGTTTAGGCCTGTCAGGAAAATCTTCCAAGCTTCTTGGAGTTGGTCAAGGGCGGCTTATGAGGGTAGCATTACTATAGTGTATTATATTATAGTATATTATATTATATTGCATGATACTATATTATACTATATTATACTGTTTCATGCTGTATTATACTTGATTATATCATACTATAATACAGTATTATACTGTATTCTGCGACATTATACTATATTATATTATATTATATTATACTATATTGTATCATACGCCACCTCTTGTGCTACCCTTGTGACGCTATGAGGACTTGAGTTCAGGGGAAAGCTACGTGCTGCCACTGAGGCTGAGCTTGGAGACTGTTAGCCTTACATTCTTTCAGGCCGGTGCTCATTATGTCATGAGCTTGAGCAGTTTTATTCTAGCAGCTGGCATGTGTTGCCGATACCATGTCATGTCACATGGAATAGAGAAGAGTTTTTGGAGGTTCAGGAGGTCCATGGAAGTTCATGGAGGTTCATGTTTTCGAGAGGGAACTCCAAGTCCTGCTTGATGGGCAGGTGTCCTTTGAGGAGCTCTCCATAACTTCAGAATGACTGGCCCTATGCTGCTCGTATGCAGATACGCTTGTGAGAGAAGCTGGCTGCAGCTGGTTCTGCTGCTGCAAATCTACCATTGCTGTACCAGCTTTGCATGAAGTATTCCAGCTTACAGGAAAGACGTGTTTCTCTGAGTGCTAGATTCTTGTGATTGCGTGCTATGGCGATAGTCCATCGGAGCGAATTCCTTCTTCCCTGCCCGGACTGTGGATTTGTTAGATTGTAAGAAGATGTATTTTGGAATGCGGTCCTTCAGTGCCCAGCTGTGAAGTGTCCCGGCAGGGCCCAACCCAAAAGTTTCCCAACCCCAACTATTTTGGGCTGCTTGGCTTGGAGGTATGGAAAGTCATGTGGACCTGAACTCTGAGCCCGGAACCCGAACCCAACAGCCTAAGCAGTCAGACAGTGGGTAGATGCCGAGGATGTGGATCGCAATGCAAGATCTGATGCAGGCCACTGTAGTTTTTTAGGAAATGCAGCTTACTACTATTATTATTGCTATTATTCTTACTATTAATACTGTTATTTTGATTAGTATTTATTCCTACTTTTATTACCTATAATTCCTTTTGTTATTACCATTATTCATATTATTGGCATTTTTGTCTGCTTAAGGGCATTCCCCCCTGAACCCTAGACCCTAAAACCCCAAACCCTAAAACCCCAAACCCCTTAGCCCTAAACGTTCTAACCCCAGTGTAACCCTAATACATCCCCCATAACCCATGCTACCGGGAGAAGCTGGATATGACTAGGACTACAGTAAAGGGTTGTTAATGGGAACCCCAAACAGGGAATCCTAAGAATATAGTAGGAATATGTAGGACATAGGGACCCTGGTAGGTATATTCCTAGTATATTCCTACTATATTCTTGGGGTTCCCTGTTTGGAGTTCCCATTAAAGTCCCTTCATACCGAGAATTGAAGCGCTACTTTGGTACGCGTCCGATTGATGCAGGAACTTACATGAGGTTTTCCTGTATCGTTTTCTTGCGCAGTTCGTTCGGGGCCTTGGTTCTTCCAGCAAAGGCCCCTTCCCCAGAATCAGAACTCATGCCTAGAAAGGTTGCCTTGGTTGTGGCCTGCGTTTTTGCCGGATGGTCTCTACAGACGTCGCGGCCTGGGCTTTTCCTGTACCAGGGAAGTATTTCATGATAACATGTGATGCTTCTTGAAGTGGCATAATTCCACGATTCAGTCCGCCAGTGCATAGCGGTGCAATCCCCATTCTAAATCGGGAACCTTTGTTATCGCTGATTTCTTGAAAAATCTTCGTCTAGTCCTGAAGATACCCTCCCTTTAGCAATCCAACATGGCTTGAGACACATCCAAACCTTAAATCCGGAAGCCCCAACCACTTGTGGTATTAAGTCTGGAACAACTCTTGGACCTACTCATATGAGCCATAGTCTAAACTCCTTCAAGGCGGTATAAAGGGGATTATACATGGGAGTATTCAGGGTTTATTAAGGGGGATACTTGGAGTTTAGACTATAACCCCCTATAATCCCCATAATCCCAGTTTCCATTTCATTTTCCATTTTCTTTTCCATTTGATTCTCCATTATTAAGGGGGATGTTTGGAGTTTAGACTATAGCTCAGAAGCAGGCCCAGGTTTCAAGATCCTTTAGCAACCCGCTAGCAGCTGCGCCCTGTGGTACACCTTTAAGGTTACCTACATGAGCTATAGTCTAAACTCCTTAAAGGGGGTTATATAGGGGATTATATAGGGGACTACTATAGGGGTTATTAAGGAGGATACTAGGAGTTGAGACAATGGCTCACATGGCCCCTCCAAATCCATGTAAACCACAAGGTCCGCCTGCTCGTTTCTCCTGCAGCGCATGACGCACCCCCTCAAGAAGGCCCTGCCGTTTAAGGGTTTTAGGCAGTTTGAGGGGTTTGGGGTTAAGAGTCCCCTTGGACAGGTTTGACTAGGGGTTATATCGGGATGCAAAGGAATATTATGGTGGTGTTGCATTTCTTTTGAGTAGGGATGACAGAGATTCTGGTATTCGTGGTCTAGGGCCTAGGTATTGTTGAGAATCATGAGAGTTGGTGTGGAGCACTCGAATGACAAGCCCAACAACGAGGATGTTAAACAAAACCAAGTCTTGTGTTGCATCATTTGACTTTTTTCGTTGATGTCGGTGCGTGTGGAAGGTGTTTGGCCTTTGCTTATCTGCATTC